GTGGGGGTTGGGGGGTGTAGTGAGAAGTTTTATCAAAGAGGTTGTGATCAACTCGTGGACCTTCTTCTGATGGGTCAGAGATAGGGGAGGAACCATCAAAAAAAAACCAACAGTGCAGCTTTGGGGGCAAGGTCCTGGTTCCTCCTCAGTGAGCAAAAGTCACTCAAGTCGCGTCTGACTCTTGGATACACATAACAACGCCTATGAGCTGTTCTACAGATACTGAAACCCCCACCAGTTGTGAGAATTTAATGGTGTATTGCCCACAAGCACTAGAGACCAGACTGATTGGAAGCAGAAGAATGTATTTTTCATTCCGGAGGCTCTTAAAAGTCAAGTCTCATCCTTGAAGATTCCTTGCTACACATCACAGAAGTCAACAGGGAAAACCTCGCAGTTTTACCTTGAACAGGTGCCTGGGAGCTTGAATGAGGCTTGAATGAGGCTTCTGAGAACACAAGTAAAATGGCATTGCCAAGGGAAGGTAAGAACCCGAGGAAACTAGAATAGTTTCTCCCAAACATGGCCAACGATCCTTGTGAAGGATGCTGATCTGCTGCCTGTTTGATGCTAGACGATGCAAAAGAAATCATGTGCACAAGAGCACTAATTGCTTCATTTATTCTTCCATTTCACCAGGGGACCTGCAGAGCTCACTCAGCCTCAGAATGGAAAATTACATGTTGGAGAGAAAACAGCCACACCGAAGGAATGACAAGGCAATTCGGGTTCTGTTCATTCACATATTTTATTTATCCAGTGAAGAAAGGAAAAAACAAAAAGACAGAATTTGAAGGTGGCACAGGTTCTGAGAGGGTATCAAGATCACGTGTTCTGTTTTCTTCAGTCTGATTTAAATCCACAGATTAAGCAGAAATGCAAAGGGATGAGATGAACACTTTACAGGAGAAGAAAGTATCTTTTTCGAGAAAGAAAACCCTCTTAAGGTTTATGTCTACTCAGGGGTTTCTTAGAGGCGGATGGCTTACTCTTGTTTCTATAAAAATATGACAGCATTGTATAAACTGCTGGGGTTGGATATTTAGAAGTGGGTGGCATGGAGGATCCTGACTTGGCAAGTTTCTGGGAGTCCAGATCTGAAAGAATCCCACTGTGGTGAGAGCCACAGAACACTGTAAACGTCCTTGGTCATGGACACACAACGACACATGGCAAAACAAGACATCGCAGACCAGGACCCCCATTCTACAGATGGGGAAACTGAGGCCTGGGGAGGTTAGGTGCTTTCCCCAAGATCACGCAGCTAGTTAGTAATAGGCACTCAAATTTCTTGACTTTTACTTCAGGGCTTTTGGACACTGCATAAATAGATTCTCCAAATACTAATTTCTTTCCCAAGATTCTAAAGTTGGCAATTTGAGCTCCTTAAATGGAAAAAACTGGAGAAAATAAAACAAAGAAAAGTTTGTGGAGAATTCTGAAAAGTTTGATTCTGATCTTAAGGACTCATGTTACGTTAGAGCTAAAAGACCAATGATTGGGTCAAAACCAGGGAATTTGATTTTTCTATGAACACACACGACAATATCTTACATGTAGTGAGACCACGAATAGAAGGCAGCACCACACAGGAAAGGTTAGAAAATTAGAAAAAACAACACAAGAAAGTAAAATGGACCACACTAGCCATTGGTAGGCTGGTCTGAACTGTTGAGCGCTTTCCAAGAACACGGAAAATGTCACAAAGTCACACTGTATGAGAAAGTAGGTCTAGCGAGCTTCTGGTGGGCACCCAGCTGCACCTCTTTAGGCGGCTGGGTGCATGTGCCCACGCTGACCCACTGCGCCAAGCGTCCCCAGGACCGCTGAATGGAATGGGCCTGAGCTCAGTCATCACTCTGCCCACTGCCCAGCACAGCTCTGGGACAGGTCAACGCCAAAGCCTTGTCGTCTCCCAAACGCCTGCTCCCTTGCAACACTGGGTGTAAATTAGAGAGGGGAGGGTTGGGTGGAAAAGATTTCAGGTTGCCGCTAAGGGCTGGACATTGTGAACCCTGGACAAAGTGACTGGTATCTTTGTTTCTCCTGGGCCCGGAGCTCTTGTGATGGGCTGAGTGTGGGCCTTGATGTCTGCGATTCGCTCTTTAAACCTTTGCTGAAGGAATTTCTCTTCTTTGGAGTAGCTTTTTGCAAACACCGACATCAGCAGGCACCCTGCCATGGACGTGCCCCCGATGCAGAACAGCACAGCACCCGCCAGCTTGCACATGTCAAGAGCTCCGTTAAACTGGACAGCGTGCGTGTCCACCACCACGAAATTGGCCTCGCCAAAGGCTTCGATTTTGGGGGGCACAAGAAAGCCCACTGCCAGGACAGTCAATCCAAGAATCACGAAGACTGTGCCAGAGATGAGTCCGACCTAGAGAAAGACACAAATAAGATTGAGTGAATGTGGAACTTCAGCTCTCCAGGGCGGGACGGGTCTTGTTTGAGAGGAGAGATTTTTCCCAGCTGGAAGCCTACATAATTTTCTTTTTAAAAAAGAAGATGAAAGGAGGACCTTTCTGATTTTGATACCAACCAGGTACTGCATCACTGACTTGATTTTTCCTTTGAGTTTTCTGTTTGTCTGATGCTTTGCAACTGACAAAGCCCCTTTGGCTTATGTTGTCTCATTTGATCTTGAGCAAAAGAAAAACAGCCCCATACCTAAGAGCTGGCATCACTCTATCCACCAGAAGCTGGCCTGGGACCCCCATGGGTGCTATGTTGTTCTGTTGGCAAAGTCAACCTCGCAGAACCTCAACATCAGACAAGCTCATTCTGTACTCATGACAAAGTGAGGCAAACCAAAACCACTTCACAATTTTGTCTAAGCACAGGCAAAAACAAGGTCATTTACAAACCAGAAAATACCATGCTCTTCCCACCCTGCATAATATAAATGACTGTTGATTCTTTACCAATTACAGTTTTATTTAGTCTCACTCTAGTCTGCACTTGGGATAGATAAGATTTATTAAGATACCTAATCATAGAATTGTCCCTGACAATCCAAAGTAAACTCTGGCTCCTACAGACTCAGTCCCCCATGCCTACCCCACCCCCCTCAAATCATCCAACCAAAGCCCACACCCTATGATCCTTTCTCACATTCTCTACTGAAATGCCCTTTGGTGTCATTTTCTCTCACTGTGATGAGCAATACACTCAACTTGTTCAACGCAGAAGTGTGTTCCTGGTGATTTTGGCTGGAGGCCACTGACAGTGTGTAACAACTCACCCTTTCTCCAAGTTGGTGGAGAAAGAACCATGATTACCAGTTAAAGGCAAGGGAATGTAGCCTCACGGAGGGTCACTGCCCCAAGGAGGGACAGTGAGGACAGGTAGTGAGTAGCACAGGGCTGGCTAGAAGCCACAGGTCTGACCCCCAGGCCAGTGCTCTTTCTCCTCGAACATGTAGCTGTTTGGACTTAACTTGTGCAGAGATTGAGAAACGTTAAGAGCAGCAGATGGAGATGAAACTGCATGAGCTCAAGTTCCAATAAAATGTAACTTGCTGAAGATGAAAAGTGATATACCATTTGGTGGTTTAAGTTCAGAGGTTTGGAATGGACAGGCTCAGGCTTAGATTTCAGCACTGCCAACTAGTACTTGAATCATAGAAGGAAAGTTACTTAAACACTCTTGTTAACTTTCCCATTTATAAAATGATAAATGATAATAGTACCTACCTCATAAAGTTGTGAGGATTAAATGAGACCATGCATGAAAGCTTTCAGCCCTGGGCCTGGCTAAGTCACGCATTGCAATAAGTAGCTATTACTACAATTATTTGGAAATGTGCCTCTTGTAAAATTATGCTACATTGGCAAGAGCATTGCAACAATCTGTCAGTACTTGGGATAAAGAACAGCTAATATAGCTTATTTTTTAAACACATTTTTCATTTCCTCCTATTCCTAATTGCTTTTAGTTAGAATAACAAGGTTGGAAAAATAATCCAATGCGTAACACCATTTAATCTTGAACATCTAAAGTATATTTATCTAACTTACTTATTATAATTCAAGGAAATACACCTTATTAGATACTTCTTTAGTAGAAAGTTGGGATAACAGAAGGAAAACATTTGCAAATCCATCACTCTAACAAAGAGGGGAGGAGAGCTAATGATATTGAGCGCTGATGATGACCCAGGCACTGTTTTTCACTTAATCTTCACCAGCATCTCATGAGATGTAGATATTTTTATCCCTATTTCACCTATAAGAAACTGAGGTTTATAGGGTTGAAGAAACATAGTTCAAAGTCCCCTTATTAAGCAGGGGGTATGACTGGACTCTACCAGATCTGTGTGACTTCTAAGCCCCACTTCCCACTTTCATTCTTCCATGAGACTTCGCCAATTGATAATTTGTACATTACCTTCTACTATCTTTTAAAAAATTACAATAGAGTTTTAGTCACCATATATCAACAAATTTCCATTATGTAATATTGTAAAGAAACTGAAAAACAAGAGTCAGTCTTCTGAAAAAAAAAAAGTATTCTACATAAGATACAAGTATTGCAGGAAAAAATTGGGTTGTAAAATATCACATTTTGGATGGCTTTCTACATTTTTCCAAGAATGGTGGCAAATCAATTCACCTTCAAAGACCAACCGTTATTTATAATGTTTAAAAAATGACTCATGTTGGAAAACTCTGAATGCCCAAACTAAATTAACTTAAATATCCATGGTGGCATGCTTCATATGTCACTAAATTACCTCTCTCCTCAAGAACTGGCACTAATTCTCCAAAATTGAGGGCAGCAAGAACGTATCCATCTTCGTTTCTAAGGTTCTTAAGAGCAAGGGAGGCCAGGGCGCTCTGTCTTCTATTTCTGTCCCGTCTCTCTGCAGCAGTCAGTCTAGTCTTGCGCCCAATAAATATTCCTGACTGACTAGCTTAAACCACCAGACTGCTGAACTTGGAGCCAGGTGATTGATTCTCAGAGCAGTCTGCTCCTCAACTGAGCAGTGTTTTATAGATTAAAATCCACTCTTGGAATATCAGTCAGAAGCTAAAAGGCAAACTATGCCTTGCAGATGGCAGAACTCCTGCTCATTTCAAGAACTGGAAAGTGGCTGGCCTCCCTGAGCCTTGCCCCTGTTCCCTGTTATATCAGAGGATCGGAGAGAGAGGCTTGCCATCTGTGGAGGGGAGCATGACGTAATGAATAGTACATAATCCCCAGGATTCTGAGGGTGCAATCCGTGCAAGTCTAATGAGGATCTCCAAAAGAGGTGCCCAGAGTGACTCCAAACCTGTTCAAACACATCAGGAAGAGCTTGGGGTGGTAGACATGAAGGAAAAACACAGAATACTTCGCTGAGAGCATCATAGTGGTGAGGAGGGATACTGAGATACATCAGTGTAATCCTGGTGTCATCTAAGTGTACAGAATGGAATAAGAACTTTGGAGTGATGCCATACAGTATCAAAAAATTTGTCTCTGGACATGGCTCTGACTTGAAGTAAGTCCTTGGTCTAAGAGAAAAGAGGTTCTATTAAATAGTTTAAGAAAGGCAACACAGGCTTTTCTTTTAAAGGTTCTAAGAGAGTAAACAGGCTCTGTTTGGGGTCATGCAAAAGTCTTGCAGGGCTGCTGGGGGTGGAGCTGCCCAGAGTAGCTGGGTGCTGTGGGATGGTTAAATCAACACCCCTAGTGAGAGAGAAGGGCCGCTCCGGGTAATGACAGACTGACAGTAGAGACAGAAGCAAGGGCAGTTTTCCCTGGAGAAGGAAATGGTAGCCCATCCGGTATTCTTGCCTGGGAAATCCCATGGACAGAGGAGCCTGGCGGGCTCCAGTCTATGAGGTGGACATGACTCTAAGAGGCGGACATGACTGAGCGACGATACACATGGGCAGTTTTCATGCTGTGACTTCTGCTGACTCTGTTGACTCTGGGGAGGAGTGGTGAAAACCCAGTCTCTGCTGCTGGAAAGGAGGACTGGACAGGAAGGACAGCTCGGAGTCCAGAAATTCTGCTGCTGGGGGCCGCAAGCCAGAAACTGCTGTTATTTCGACCAATGTCCCCTTCGTTGTTCCATCTGTGAGCTGATGAGATCTGAAAATGCAGTTTCCTCCAAGAAGCAGAGCTGGCAGCAGGAGCAAGGCAGCTGTTCTGGCAGAGAGGAGGCAGTCAGGGCGGTTAGAAGCCAGAGCCAGCATGGCAGGGAAGAGCAGTGTGGGGGGAAGTTGCTGGATGGAGCTAAACGTGAAAGGAGCCATCTGGATTCGAGGTGAAATCCAGAAGACGCGCAGCAAGAGTGGAGATGGGCTTTCCTTCATCCTCGTCTGCCCCGAGGGCTGCAGCTGACCTCTCTTTCGCAGCACCTGAGCTCAGAGTGGTGTCCCCTGCCCGACTGATGGCAGATTCTAACTCATCTGGCCTGACCCTTTTGTAGGGACACGGACCTTTACAAAGCAACGACCGATGCCAGGGTGGGATCCAAGTCCTTCCGTGTAGGCCTCACCTGCTGTGTGTAGGCCTCACACTTTCCATAGCCCTCCTGGGCACTGGGATCCCCCGCTAGTTCCTCTAGCTATGTCCCTCCGGCCAGTCAGCACATTCAATCACTTCCATCTTCAAAAGCTATTCCAGAACCCGGTGTTCCCCTCTAGCTACTGCTTGAATTCATTCCTACCCTTGGCAGAAAAGCTTAGTCCTATACCATTGCACTGAAACCCCTCTCTCTGAGGTTACCGATGACCTCTTAATTGTGAAATCCAGTTTTTCTTCTCCATGTGTATATCCTGTAGTCATTGATTTTCAGCACTCAGGCTTTATTAAGACCCTCACCAATGGTTTTCCTGGACACATTTCCCTCCTGCGGCCATGTCTACATCTTTAACAACTAACTCTTAACCTGCTTTGCCAGAAGCTCCGAAATTATTGGTGTTCCCCAGGGTTCCAGCCGTGACTCACGTCTCTTACTCAATATGTTCTCTCTAGGGTTTAATTTTGTGGCCACAGTTTCAACTCCCACCTATATATCAGTGAATTCCAAATCTCCAACTCCAGTCTAGATTTCTCTCCTGGGCTGTAGCCCCATATTTATGATAGTCAATGGGAGGATTTACACAAAGATGTCCCAAAGGCTCTTCAAACCCCAAATATTTGAAATGATGTCCTGTCTTTTCTGTTTAATGTCTCTGCATTCCTGCCATCCACCCATTCACTGAGTCTTTCCTCATGTTGGTAGTCAATGGATAATTAAATCTTATTAATTCTACCGCATGAGATTCTCTTCAATCTTATCTCTCCATCACCACAGCTACTCTAACGGTAACAGAGCACTGTTAACTCTTGCCCACATCATTGCAATAGTATTCTGATCGTCCCTCTGGCCAGGCTCACTTTCTT